ATGGGGGGGGGGAAATCTATATCTATGTATCAGCTCCACTCGATGGCTGCAGGTTTGATGACAACGGAGGCCTCTGCAAATATCGCACAGTTGCCTTCGTATATTTCTTTTCACAACGCTTTTAATTATACATGCCCCATATTTGCTTGTTGTGTTTTCCGATTGATTCCCCCCTCCCCGCTTTTCCAGGGAGCCTTTCTTCGTGTGCGTTGAGATTGCTCAAATTGTTTTGATAGACTTGTTCCATTCCTTCGGCTGTTTGTAATGTTTGACAAGGCCTTGTCTGTTTGTTTTCCTTGTGCGGTGCTGCTGTAAGCCGTCTTAAGCTGCCTCTGTTGTAGACGGCGGAGCCTCGCAATCCTATTAAATAAATATAAATTAAAATAATCTTCCCACCCCCACCCCCACCCCCATCCCTCCACCAACTCTTGAACCCAAGGAACTGATTTCATGGCTTAAATTGAAGTCATTGGGGGAGAAGGAGGAAGGAGGGAAAAAAACACCCCACCCATTAGTTATTATGTAAATCACTGCTCCGAGATGAATAGACTGCCATATTCCGCTTAACAGATACCATATCACAAGCTTACCGTTACTGCTGGAAAAGAATCCAAATAGGAAGCTGTTGAAATATTCAACTCTGCCTAATGTGCAAACTGCACACACAACTTGGCTGCGGTGGAAACAGCCACCGTATCACTCTGGGCTTCTCGCAGATGTATTTGGAATGCATTTATGCATCCGTGCTCCTCCATACATGCATTCATTCCCACGTCCACCGACACACACACACCTTTTGCTCTGTGTGATTTCTTTCCCGCTTGCCTTATAAAATGGGTTATCAGCTTTTCATGACAGCCCCCATCCTAAATTCTGTTCCTAATTCCAAATGGAATGAAAGGACTCGGATGAAAGCCACAAAGAGTAGGAAAACTTTTGGGGCTCCCCCCCAAAAAACCCCAAGAAAGATACATTGCGGTTCTTCTAAATCAGTGGTGGGTTGCCAATTTTATTACTACCGTTTGGGGGGGGGCGCATGTGCAGAAGCGTCCAGGCAGATGGGTGGAGCCTCCCACCGATCCGGGTTGAACCGGGATCAACCCACCTCTCTTCTGAATAGCTTCCTTTATCGTGTCTCACCTTCAGGCAGGAATCTTGCCAGACTAAAGCAAACTATTTGCCCTGTTAAACGTATACTCTGGGAACCATTGAGGAGGAGCTGTCTTCATCCTCTTTCTCCCCCACAAACTGTATTGTCTCTTGCTCCTCTGGAATACAGCCCCTCCTTTCCTCCCTCCTGGGAATCCAGACCGCATTCCACGACAACAACAGAATATTAAAGCCAGTAGATGCAGAAGCTCTGATCTGTTTTCCTCCGAGGCAGGAAACTCATTGTGATGATTGCCCCGTTGACGATTTCAGTTTGTTTCTTTTCTCGTCCTTCCCTTCTGAAACCCAGCAAACCCTGAGATATCGCTGCGCCAGCATTATGTCCACCACTCCGGAGCCGCCAGGAAATGATTCCATCCTCCGACGGAACAAAGATGTCCCACACTCAAGGTAAATGTCCCTTGGCCAAGTGGGGAGAAAGGAAGGGCCTATGTGAACCAGGAAACTTGGATGAAAACAGGGGTGGGCTTCAAAAATTTTAGCAAGGGGCTCTCTGCCTGGTTGTTGGGTGGGCATGGCCTAGTCATGACCACGGTGGCATGGCCTAGTCAGCCTTCCGCACCACAGAGGGGGACATTTTTGCCCTCCCCAGTCATCGGAGGCCCTCTGGAAGCCAGCAACCTACTGTCCTTCTGCTTTTGAGTCCTCTTCTCTTTCCAGGATTTGGTCTAAAATCAATGGTCCCCACAGGTCAAATACTGGGTTCCACCACAAAACCGCGTTCGACTAAAGCGCGCTCGACGAAACCGCGTAGCTGACGT